ATATTATCTTTATGATTCAGTCTCAAACGATTTGTACAGCTTAGACAGCCTCACTGTGTTCAGATTAAGGAAAAAAGGCCATTTCTTATAACAAGTCTAAAATTTACTTTCATTCAGATGGTGCTTTGATCTTTCAAGCAACATTTGCAAATTTATGGCCTATAATGCAAAGCAGGTTGAATAAAAGCCAGGCTTCTTGAAGAGATTTGGTTGAACTAATCCCAACACTGATAATCTAATGTATCAGTGCCGCAAAGCTGCTTATCTACCTAGTAAGTCAAACCAGGTTTATGACTCTAGATTTGATGGAGGGAAATAAAATAACAATGGCAAAATGAAGAGAATTTATAAGTTTACTAATGCCTATGTGACATCAAGTATCTGAAAATTACAATGAATTTCACCAGAAATTATTTAAATGCCAAATCATTTCTTAAACAAGCTATTTTTGCACTAAAAGGAAACAAGAAAGTCTAGAAATTAAGTTTAAGTTTGATTTTTGTAATCAAATGTTCTAGGTGACCTCTAACTTTAACCAGTTTTTAAAACAACGTACAGATAATTATGCTGAACTCTGAAAATGTTATTTAGCATCTAAAAACAGTAAGAAACTTGATTTTATTTCTAAAGTTTCTGTTTTAGGGGACTTAAAAAATAAAATAGGCAATAAAGATGGTTTTTAGTTATAGATATAACAGGGAGAGAGAATAAAAGATGAGACTCTCAAAGACACGAGAGCACGCTGTCTGACCAACAATCAGGACAGCTCCATCTGGACTGAAATAATAAGTTAAATGGAAAAGTGACATTGACAAAAGCCACACTTTAAATTACTCAAGTTGTGTGCACGTTTCTACCTGGAGGAGCCGGATGAGAAACAGTCAGAGTTAGCTGCTGTTGCTAACATACGAGTATTGAGCGAGCAACATCAAAAATTCCACCTATCCTGAAAAGTCCATTACAACTTTGATTAGGATTTGCATTCAGTTTGTGAAAATTGCTCCATGTCTTGCACTTGGGAGTAGGGGTGTAACAATTCATCTATTACATCGATGTATCGATTTATTTTCCTACAATCCAACTACATTGATCTGTGCTCGCCAAGCTGGCCTTTCCAGACGACATTTATCGATCTAAAATCGTCTTAAAATGTAATTAATCGATTATGTCGATACTATGGAATAACTTACCAGATTTAAGCACGGCACCTTACATTCGTTTTTATTAGGGGTGTAAGAAAATATCGATACACTGAAATATCACGATATTTCATTTCCCAATACTGTATCRATATTCTAAAGCCCTGTATCGATTTTTAATTAAGGTTTAAAATGTCAACTTTCCTGCCAGCCATTCATTTTTATGTTGTAGTTCAGCCTCTGACCACTAGTTGGCAGCAGGGAGCCAGCCATTTGGCTCCTCTACCTCTTGAGCGCTAGAGAATAAGGGTAGCATTAGCATTGTAGGAGACAATGTAAGCATTGTAAGTAAACATTAGCTTTTTTTCAGTAAGAGGTTTTTATTTAATAGAATTTTTGGACAAAAAAAATCGCAATATATCAGGATATATCGTATCGTGACCCCTCTGTTATGATATGTATCGTATCGCCAAATTCTTGCCAATACACAACCCTAGTTTTTATGTACTTTTAATGATAGTCACATTAAATTTTACTGGATTCACTCTGCTTGTCCATGACGTCATCAACTCGCGCAAAAAAACAGCATGGAGGACGGCAGAGAAGAAGCGCTTGACGAGAGAGGAATTATCAAGCCACCATTGCGGTCCAGTGTGTGGAAACACTTTGGCTTTCGCAAAAAAGGAGGCATTCTTAATAAGTCGCTCGCTGTTTGTAGTTTCAGCAAAGGTCAAATAAAATATAACGACAACACTACAAATCTCTCCAACCACCTACTAGGGAGCCATGGGATTTCACACAACGCCGACCATCCAGGCACTTCTTTCGGTGTCCCCACCGCAGCAGCAACACAAGGTAACGTCAGCCTAAGCTCTGCAGAAACTTCAGGCATTGGCAGCATGTTTAGTCAGAGACTGGGCCAAAATTCAGCTCGGGCATTTTATTTTGGTTGCATTTTATGCAAATAAAATGTGAATACTTTTGCTATTAATTTGATTATTTTTCTGTATCTATTTTCATCTATTTTTGCTTGATTCCCTTACAAAAAACAAACAAACAAACAAAAAAAAAGGAATCTGTGAAACTTAATTTGCATTGTCCAGAATCAAGGTATTTATTTCACAGGCACACTGGTTGAATTTTTAGCTAAAAAGTTACTGAATCGATTTTAAGTCACTGAATCGTTTCAGATCGGATCGTTTTAAATGAACCAAGATCGTCCTTGAATCATATCGGCAGCCGTGATTCGTGATACGAATCATTGTTAAAACGAATCATTACACCCTAGGCCTGTCGCGATAGWCAATAAATCAATTAATTGCACGATAATTTTTTTTGAGGTCGATAAAAAAAAAAGACGGCGATAAGTTTCATTTTCCTGCTTGTTTGTTTACTTCGTGTCTTCGTCCCTCTCTACTCCGCTGCACAGGAGCTCAGCTGACCCCTCCCCTCCTGTTTTCTTAGTGTGGGAGGAGTCAACTCTCGCTTTAGCATGATCGTTCCTAAAGAAACGCTTCAAAGCAGAACGCGGCTGCTGAAGTGTCGGGAGCACTAGAGCCTGGATTTCGCTGCGGAGGGAGAGAGAGACGGAGTGGGAGAGAGAGAGAGAAGGAGAAGAAGGGGTGGGGGCTGAAACTCCCCCAGACCCGCAACAAACTCATCAAGACTTTACCTGTAGCTCCCAAAAATAACAGGAAACTTAAACGCA